GCTGGAATGACAGGTTGAATTCAAACCCCCTACGTTTGGCTAAGCAAAAAGGGAAGAAATGCTCTGTTAGAAAAAAAAGTCACAATAAAAAGAGTCAAAACCAAGAATAAAAATGAGATTATATACACAAGGAAAGTGACATTCTGAAACATGAAATATGTCATTTAACTACCGCTAGAAATAGACAATTTTCCATCCAGAAAAAGAATGAATTGTTGAGAAGAAAGACTTCTCAGAGAGTATGTTATTATACTGCCTTCTTAACGAATTCATAAATTATACAGTCCAAAGTTAATGGATTCCCAGAAATCTGCCACTTTCAAAAACAAGACACAATGTTTTACAGAATAAACACAAGAAGAAAATATTTAAATTCCTCAGCTCTCACCAAGTGGCATGAACACACTGAGACAGGTCCCTCCCATAAATCCCATCCTTCACTCTTTGCTTATTGGTGTCGCTGTGACTTCTGGTTAGTAGCTACAGTGCAGGTGTACAAACAACAGCTCCTCTCCTTAAAATTTATTTCCAATTAGCATGGTCCCCTTATGACATTAATCACATTTAGTATGTTCCACATGTTTGATTAGTAGAAGTCAGATTTTGGTAGATATATCTTTCCCAGGGTAGCAGAGAAGAACAAAATCAGGATTCAGGGTCCATTGGACTCTGCTAAAAGATGAGCCAGGCTTCTGTGACTCAACATCCACTATTTCCATTCCAGCTGTCTTGCACGAATGTTGTGAGTCTTGTTTATTGTTCTGAATAATGTCTGTATAATTCAGATAAATGATTTCAAGTGGTATAAAGTACTGTTACTGACACTAACTTCCTGTATTCTCTACTACGTTCCAGATACATTCCAGCTGCGTGTCATCCTTCCATACTTACTTTTTTCTGAAGATACTGCATATGAGTTCCTCCTGCAATTAATGATGCAGCCACAGGGCAGGTGGATCCAATGTTTTGACAGAACAAATACTGGGGTGACTGTGGCAGCCAGCAAAGTCAATGTCTCAAATGAAAGGCTTTGAAAACCAGTGATGTGCTGGACAACCATTTGTATCTGAAAGGCAGAGCATTTTGAAATTTACATCACTTCAGACACATGAGATAATTCCAGGAATAAAGATAACATCTCACCATGAACAAGACACAAATAAAAGACACAGGTTGTCATTAATGCTTGCTGAGCCTAACAATTTTGTTTCTAACAGAGTGAGGAAAACACACAGAGAAAGGCTTTCCTCCTCATTCTGCATTTCTCAGAAAAACCCTTGCTTATGCTAAAGAGAGAGAGAGCTATTCAAACGAGCAACTCACAACTCAAGCAACTCTAGCTCAGTCTCTCCTGCGTGGTACTGAGGAACCCCAACTCCCGACAGGGAACAGGACAGAGAACTTGGCACCAGCCCAGGCTGGGCTGCAGATGCAGTGTAACGCTCTCTTGCCCTTGGGAGAAGCTCAGGAGCTGAGCCTACACATGTCCCAGGGACAGGCACAACGCTGCCCCGGACCCACACTCCATGTTCTCAACAGACACAAATGTACCTGTTCCCAGATACACTAGTGCACACACTCACACAGCACTCCCTACCACCCCATCTTCCAGTTCCCCCCAGTGCTACAGAGATTGCGAAGTCACAAGCAAACCTCATTTTTCTAATAAACTCCTATTTTTCAACCAGTCTGGCAAAGGATGTGACTCACAGCTGTGAGGAGGGCAGAACAGCTAGTCTCGTACAATTCACGGACCCTGAACAAACGCTTGTCAGACAGCTGGCAACACAAAAGAGTGGACCTTATTCATCCCTGTATTCAGGTGGTACAGATGACGTGATAGTGGAGTAACATAGTGATGAATCAGGCTCTGTCAAACCTGCTGACAGTCTGTTAAATCTGTGTAGTAACACAGACCTGCTTAAAAGGACTTCTGCTGGCACAAGCTATACTAGAAGGAACAACTGCGATGGCTACTGTTCATCTGTTTCAATACATGGCACTCCAACTCACATCCTATTTAAATGTAAATCAACATTAGAAAGCAAAGCAATCTGACAATTTACCATCATTGGGAGCCAGAGAATGACTTTGGTCAGTGCAAGAATCAGTGAGAACCGTTTCTGGGCAAAGCCCACCATGAAGCTCCTGCTCTCTACGCTGTTTATGCAATGGGGCTCGAGTGTACTGCTCTCAGCCACACCTTTCCTAAAAACTGCCTCCGAGCTTGGACATGCACTTTGGAAATGCCTCAAGGATTTATCCACAGGGTCCACCGGTGTCAGAGATGGGGTAGCGGTACTGCAGCCTGCTGGTGTCCCAGGGGTGATGTAGCCTCGTGAGATTTCCTGGTAATCAACATGTAACAGCTGTTGCTCATCCGAGCACAACAGCTGGTAAGTTAGAGGAACAGACAGCACGGTGAGGAGGCAAAAGCACAGTGAGTAGACAATAAATAAAAACAAGATGTAGGAACTGGCACAATCGGTGAAGCAACCCCAGGAGGTGGGGATGTACTTGCCCCAGCCACAGAGAGGCAAAATGCAGATAAGCAAACTGACAATCCAAATGGTAAGAACAGCCTGTACCACGCTCACTGGTCGCTTGGAAGTGCTGCAGCTCATTGCCTCCGTTTTGCTGATGGTGTAGAAGTTGTAAGAGACTATAAGAGACCCTTTCAGGTTGCTAGAAATGCCCTGGAATAAATATATAAGCGCTGAGGATGTGCACAGAGGCTGGGGCAGAACATCGCTTGACCACTGAGTGAGCATGAAAATAATCACCGGCACAATGCTGATCAAGTCATCTATCGACAAAGAGGTCACGATCATGGCAAGCGTGGTTTTGTTTTGCATTTTCAGCAGGGCAACTAGTGAATAAACGCTGCCCAGAAGTGCTGTGAATGCAATGATAAAAGTCAAGCAGAATAGAAAGACATTCAAAGTTCTCTGCTCGCTAGGCTTATCCATAATGCTATGATTTTCAGCAAAGAAGCTTGTTCCATTCAGTGACAAATTACTAGGCGTTACCGACATCGTCCTTGGCTAATTTTTTCTTTGCCTTCTCACTGACTCTGCAAGTTTTCACTAGCTGAAACCAGGACTGTTAGCTCCACAAGTTTCTTTGTTTTCCTGGGCTCTCTTTCCTGCCATCTGCTGAAGAAATATTCAGGTGAAAGATCCACCGATAACCAGAATAACTCACGCTCTCGAAAAATCAGGCAGCAAAGAAGTATTGAAGGCGCTGCAAAAAAAAGCAGTTCTTCATAATCCTTTCAGCACTGGAAGACGGTTAATTTAGCCTCTTCAGGTAATAACATGCCATTCACTTCTGACAGCAGGCAACGTGCCTTACTCACGAGTTCAGCTGAAACGAAGGCAGATTATCAGGTATGTTCAAGCTCTAGTAGCTCAGGGAAAAACATAGCAGAAAAGAGAGGCTGTTGGATTCACCCTGCGCTGTTCGGAGCTGCAGGAGGGAGGAGTCAGATGCAAGCAGGATAGCAGAGACGAGAGGAGTGAGTATCTTCTCAGACTGAGCTGCCTCCGGATTAGGAGACTGAAACAGTGTCCCTGCTAAGCCACACCTCCGATGCTGACACCGAAATCCAATGCAAATACTCAGATCTGATGTCAGCCGTAAATGCCATTCCCGTAAAGCCCGTGGCTGCTCCGGGGCTGTGCTTCACGAGCCAGCGCGCTGCTTTTATTCTTTCGCACTTCTGCACTCCAAGCCTGGCAAGGGGAAAAGCCGCATGAGGACGAAGCAGACAGGCTGTGTCTGTTCTGCCTTCTTGCATTCCTTCTCCCCAGGCAAGGGTGTGTACATGCATGCTGCGCACGAGTGCCAACCGCACCGTTACTCAGTGACAACTGTTCATGACTGACAGGGGACTGCCAGGCCTGTTAGCCAGGTCCTGCTGCCTATGCGGTTCAACTCAGCCTGGTGTTCATAAAACTTTCATTCCCCACATGATTCAAATCTCAGCCGCATTGAACGCTGCCTGCTCTAGCGCAATACACGGACAGAATGACAGCCAAGTGCACTCTGGCACATTACTAATGTTTTCTCTTGAGAAACTGCAACACCGGTGAACTTAAAGGCTGACGGAATTTCCAGCACTCGTATGTGAAGTGGACAGATAGGCTCACTGCAATCTTCTTGGAGGACTCTGCCTCTCTCTCCTTTTTGGCACCACTTTGAGTACAAATACGTGATGAGGAGGCAGCACAACCGTTTTCTGATTAAGAGTAATACTGTAAGGCTCCTGCACTTACCTGCTAGGCTGGGTAATGTTACAAATCCTCTCAGGTAGAAATCTGCACTATTAACAACCTGATCCTTGCTCAGTTCTACCCACTTTGAAATGCCCGAGCTGTGTCAGGCCACGGGCGGGATTGCTCGGGTGTTCTCCCTGCTGCCAGGGCAGGGCAGGCTTGGGGACAGTGATTCTCAGAGGTGCTGGAGCCCCAAACAGGCAGGGCTGCAGCTGTATTGTGTGACAAGAGCCCACAATACAAGGACCAGAGCTAAAGCAGTGGTGATTGATCCGAATAACCCGTCCTTCCTTTCCGACTTCCAACCTGCCCCGCATGGCACCAGTCCACCCCACGTGCCCCATTCAGCCACGGATCTCTCCTCAGTGCAGGACCCACTGTACAGTCATGCTCCTCCTACGGAGCCCAACTGGGAGCTTCTGCCTCTCCATTCTCCCTTTCACACCACAGCTGCCTCTTTATTAAGGATTCAGCATTATCAGAATCAACTGACAACTCTTCCCATCAGAAACCTGCGCAGTGGAGGACCATCCACCCTGTCTTCCACACAAGGCACAGTCCCGGATCTGGACCATTCATCTGGCCTTCAACTGTACAGGATTTGACTTGGCTTTTGTGATTTATCGGTCCTGCTGGACTATTGATTGTTAATCAGTGCTGTGCGAGCTAAAGGCCAGGGCTCGTTTCCTTCTGTTTACAAACGACAGTCACATCTGCCCCCGCAAGTCAACTTTAAATTAAGGACAATGTTCTAAATCTTAAGATTAACAGTGCGAGTCTGGCCAGAAGTACAGTCAAGAGATAAGAAGAGAAAGAAGCATCATTCATCCTTGTTTGGACCTTTATTTCTCGGTCTGGCTTCCTGAGGAAACACACGACGACGCTGCCTGAGTGTGGCTATTCCCACGTGCACATCTCTCTCTTCCACAGCCCGTCCCTCAATTCCTTTTGATAAGATGATGACTTCTATCTCTTTTTTCTCTTTTATCTCTCCTTTGATGGTGTCAAAGCTATTAAGGTCCCAGAAGTTTCATGAAAATGAGCAGGTGATCAGAGGAGACAGATCACAGCAGGTTGCAGCAGAGTTGCCTCTTCACCTCAAACTAGTGAACACAAAGCAGAGGCTCTGTAAGTACTCCAACCATAAAGAAAGCTTTAGCTGAAATTTCAGTTAACTAAACTGGGGGCATGTGAGGTGGAAGCTAAACTGTGGGAAACCAGCTTCATTTACTTTGGCATGTCTTAGCGCTTCCTGATACGTGATCAGTTCTTTTCATTCTTCAATTCCCTGTTCCCATTGCCTGTGTCATCTTCGTTTGCTCTTGCCATATTACTGCTGAACGGTTACAAACAATTTTAACGATGCTTGGGAAATTTATTTTTCCTACTTTGGAAAATTTTTCTCCCGTGACCTGAGTCATTATACCTACAGTGCATGTCCAAGAGTCTTGATGGCAATATCAGCCACAGGTTTTCTGAGAGTTCCCTCAGTACAATCCTCGCCACGTGCTTTATACTGCCCCTGCTTTCCCGGCCGCGCACACACAGCCTCTGTGTCTCTCCTTTTGAACACTTTGGTAAGAGCAGTCCACCCTGCGCCTTCTGCTTGTATTTGGAATGAAACGCTCATTAGTGCTTTTTAAGAAGAAAGTCACTTTTATTAATCACCATGCCCGTGCAAGGCAGATGATTTATTACTCACTTCAGTTCATCTTCCCACAGAATGTATTTTATTATAAGAACTGTAGCTTGCCATTCTCTGTGGCAGCTTTTACCATAACTCATAATACAGTGAAATGTTCTTTCATCTGGTCCCTTCACAGTTATAATAAGCCAAAGATCTTAGGAGGAACAAATTCAAGCAGCTTTCCTTCATCTTTCTTTAACATGACTGATAAATTCTGGTAAAACATGTACAGAAAGATCAGCTTCATCTTAAAACTAAAGAGTTGTAGTAAGAAACAAGCAACTCTACAAAGAGAAGCACGATTTTCCACACAACTAGGCCTCCAGGTACTCAATTTGCACATCCTCTAGGTCTGAATTTTCTCTTGGGGCTGGGGCAAATGAATCTGAATTAAATTCTCTGATCTCTTCTAAAGGATAAGTTTACGTTGCAGTCTTTTGAAACTTCCAGAAACACTATCTTTGCAATTGTAAATTCACTCCCAAATCTCCCTGAAATTCCTGAACAGACTCAGCTAGGTTTGGGGGTGACAAGTGCAGGTAAGCGAGCAGAGAGGTAGTCAGTGTCATCACAACACCCCTCCTCCCAGATTTTCTACAGAAGCGGTGCTAGAACAGAGTAATACAGCACTGCCAAAAAGCCACGGCTAACGTCCTGCAGAAACTAAGCAAAAGAAACAGACACCTTTGTCTGCTGCTGTGTCCTTGGTGTGCGCCGTGTCAAGGCAGGCATGAATTTGTAATTCAGGTCCTTCCTACCTATGTCCTTTCTCCTCTGCGTTTAGCCTCTTCAGTTACACGAGGCTCCTAACGCAAACACTGTCTTTCACAATAAAGGTACATATTCCTTATCCTGGTGTGAATTCTCTTTGCTAAGGAATGATCCCAAAGAGAAAATACATTAGGCATGGAAATCTCCTCTCTGGCCTCCCTTCAAAGAGCACTGCACAACGATGTCTCTTTAAAGGAAGAGTTGGCACTACTCGACAGTCTACGGAAGGATTTCTGAGAAATGCACTGCATGTACCGATTCAGAAATCCTTGTAAAGAGAATCAAATATTCACCATTCATAAAATACAACCAACAAATAGGGTATTAAAAATTTATCCCTGCACTAAGCTAAGCTCACCTTATGGTTTCGCCGCCTTTTGTCGCAAAAGACAAAGTTGTACAGCAGCTGTACAACTATTTCATTTCAGAAGGTGATATAACCTCTGTGCCAGACATAAATGAATATATATATGCACAACTGCACTAATGTCTGTAACTTACTTCTCAACAGCATGTGAAGGAAAATGTTTGGGTTTTTTCCTAGAATTTTTTTAACAGACTTTCAAAACCACATCAAACTAAATGATCATTTTTGGTCTATCGGACTCAGACATCACTTTCAGATACAAGATGGTTGAACTGCACCTAATTATTTCATCTCACTATTTGCCTCAGGTGAATTAAATCAATGGTGGCTTCTAATAAAAGGCAGATACTCTCATACTTAATCCATTTCCGCTGCAGCTGCATTGCTGTGCTGTAGGAAAAAGGTGCTTACTGATTTGGAGCAATTAGAGCAACGTAAATCAGGAGTAATTATATTAATCCTAAAAATATGATTTAGCCTATTTTCTCATTATGGGCTAGACTGCATCAGCTTTAACTCAAGCGAAACAGGACCCTGCTGTGCAGATGCTCCTTTTGAAACCAACGGCTTGTTGTTACTCACCGTAGCACGTCACAGCCTGTCCCTCCATGAGGCAGCACCTCTCCGAGCAGACAGGTCAGTGTTAAGCAGCGCCCATCAGCTTCTGCTTCCGTGCTGTAAATACAGAGAGCAAACCGAGCCTGCAATGAACTGAATGTTTTTGCAGAACTACCGAATCAGTAACAGACAAATGGAGCTGTGAGTGAGCAAGCCCCTCAGTGTCCACTGGATGAGCTGTGATCCTGGCGTGTGTTTTTGCCCAGGACTCTCAGAAGCCTACAAACAGCTTGCTCATCGGCAACGAAAATGATGCCGGCACCTGTGTGAGGCTGGCAATAAATGAGATGGCTCAGAGATGAGCTCAAACCCACCCAGGTCACACCACATGCACACTGCCAGAGGTGATGATGTGCTGGTACTCAATGAATGACCAAAGTGGGACCAACTAGAAGAGAAACAAGCATTTACTGGAAAATAGTAATTGCAGGACAGCAGTGCCGAAAGGGAAGGGGTATTAAGTGTGCAGTGTAGACAGGGAGGAGAAGAGGACAGTTCTAGCCAGGAAGGGTGACTTCTCAAGTAGATGGCAAGGTGGAGAGATGGCAGCCATCAAAGGGGAGAGCAGCTCAATTCTAGACAGCACGGAAAGTAAGACGTCTTGCTGGGTGTGGTGTAACTGCCATATTGAGCCAAGACACTTGGTAATGTCACTTCTACTGAGCAGCCACTGGCTCACTGAATTGATAAGGAGGAGACAGACAGCTAGCAGGGAAGCAATTCTTCAGTTCAGCTCCTCACAGCAACTGTTGGCTTTCTAAACGAGAGCACAGCAGGCTGTGAACACAACTCATGGAACAGCATGATGCGAACACATTTAATTTTGCTGCGC